AAAATATGAAATTTGAGATTTTGAAAAACAAGTAAGGTTTCTTACCCAGTAAATAATTTAAGTCCTTCGGGCCATCAGTAAGTCTTTCGAGCATGATGATGAAATCCTTCGGGTCATCTGTAAGCCTTTAGAGCAAGATGATAAGTCATTCGAGCCATCCATAAAGCCTTCGGGTAGGATGTTTTCACATGAATTTGAAAAATAAGAAAGTGATGTTTTAAGAAAATGAAACCTTTGAAAACTAAAAAGGCGATTTCCAAAATTTCTCACTTAGTAAGTCCTTCGGGCCATCAATAAGTCTTTCGAGCATGATGCTTAAATCCTTCAGGCCATCAATAAGTCTTTCGAGCATGATGCTTAAATCCTTCAGGCCATCAGTAAGTCTTTCGAGCATGATGATTAAATCCTTCGGGTAACTGGTAAGCCTTCACGGAAGAGTAGTGAAGAAAATCCATCAGTAAGTGCCATCAGTAAGTCTTTCGAGCATGATGATTAAATCCTTCGGGTAACTGGTAAGCCTTCACGGAAGAGTAGTGAAGCAAATTCATCAGTAAGTCTTTCGAGCATGGTAATTAAATCCTTCGGGTAATTTTTAAGCCTTCACCGAAGAGTAGTGAAGCAAACCCATCAGTAAGTCTTTCGAGCATGATGATTAAATCCTTCGGGTAACTGGTAAGCCTTCACGGAAGAGTAGTGAAGCAAATTCATCAGTAAGTCTTTCGAGCAGGATGTTGAAATCTTTCGGGTCATCAGTAAGTCTTTCGAGCATGATGATTAAATCCTTCGGGTCATCCATAAGTCCTTCGGGTAGGATGTTTTCACACCAAGGTGATAAGTCATTCGGGCCATTTTAAGCTTTCTCGAAAGAGCGTTGGAGCAAGCTATCAGATCATCAGATGTGAGAGGAAATTGAAGGTTCTCGAGTACAAAGAAGTGGATCAATTGATTAAAAGAAAATGTGCACGAGGAGTCATTAACCAATTCAAGGTCTTAGAAAGAGAGATGTTCAGATGGCAGCCTAGTCCAAGAAGATTCTCATATATAGCTGTTGCGAGACAAGATCCCGCAAGAGAAATGGATTCTCAAAGATTCCCTTAAATTTTAAATTTTTCGAGTATAATGTTTTTCAAATCTGTAAGCATACATTAATGAGTGGCAACGTTTGTTTTTCAGGTTTAACCTTCGAAGTTGAGCCTTCATGAAAGAATAGTGAAGAATAATCAAACCATAAGATTGTTCGAGTTCTACTCCCTGAAGCAAGAGGGAGCGAACCCGTAGGCAGAAGATTGTTCGAGTTTTACTCCCTGAAGCAAGAGGGAGCAAACCCGTAGACAGAAGACTGTTTGAGTTCTACTCCTTGAAGCAAGAGGGAGCGAACCCGCTGGTCGAAGATTGTTCGAGTTCTACTCCCTGAAGCAATAGGGAACAAACCTTTTTTTATAGAAGATTGTTCGAGTTCCTTAATTCCTGGACAAGAGGGAGCGGGTCCGACATTTGAAGTTTTTCAAATTTCAGTTATCCCGAAGTAACAGTGGAGTGCTTTAATCTTTTAAAGTTCACATTTCCGTACAAATTTGACCATCTATTGATCTTTGCTCTATTCTCGTTGCACGACAATGAGCAAAGAGGGGCAGCTGTAGATGCTCATTTTGTCCGGGTTTATAGAAAATTACTTGTGACCCAACTCGTACCCAAGACAATTGAAGACCCAATTCAAGTTCAATGATCCAGTAGAGCAGCCTCTGTTCCACGTGAGAATTCCCTAAAATAAAAACGGTTATGGGGAGTTAACAAGCATGAATGAGAAGTTACCAATAAGATTGAGGTTTATAATCGTATGAGGAAACTGAAAAGAGGTTCAGTTTTTATTGGGAATTAACCATTAAAAACGGGAGGACAGAGAGCAATTTGAGGGGATCAAAAACAAAAAAAAAAATCTCCATGGTTTCTCTTTACAGAAGGAGATAGCAAAACGAAAAACATGATATTGTATTTCCTTCAATTTGAAAATCAAAGGAACGGAAGAGTTCACTCGTTTCAACAAATCAAAGCAATACAAAGTGGAATTCAGTTCCTACAAGGTTTTCTTTTTCTTCTCTATGATTACATTAGTATTTCTCTTCATCCATTTTAATTTTTTTTAAACTAAATGCAAATTGTAAAGTAAAAACAGAAATTAATAGTTAGTTTTATACCTTGTTTCGCTTCAATTTCGCCGGAGAGGAATCCCTTCATCGGGAGTGGAAACTTGTTAGACGAGCGATAGGGGCCGCAATGTAGAATTTCAGGATGAGAGTGTGATTGAGAGCTATGGTCGGAAGAGAGGTGGCCACCAAAGTATGGTAGCCGAGTGTTGCAACGAAGGCCATCGGAGATTGATGGCTAAGCTTTGGTCGATGGGTCTCGAAGCGAGAGAGAGGGTTCTTGTTTCACGGTGGTCGGCATAGAGAGTTGTATAACTCTCTGTTTGAGAAGACGAGAGAGAGAGACATTGAGCGTGAGGGGAGAAAGGAGACTGCTGTAGGTTTAGTTTACATTAGATTAGGTTTAATTTTAGTTAAGTTATATTAAAACTTTAGGGTTAATTATTGTTAGCCACCGTGACCTTAGGGATGGATTAGGTTTAGGCCCTCATAACTTAAGCATTTTCGTTTTAACCTTGTTTTAATTAGTGATATATACATATATTTTAATTTATGATTCATTTCCTTTTAGTCCATTTAGTTTATTTGTTTGTACTTTGTATAGTTTATGTATTTGATATGTTGTTTTATGTTCTTTATTTCAGTCCTATGCATGCTTATGGTTTATTAGCAATTTAGGGTCTGAATTATTTGTCCTTCATGTTAAAATGGTCTGAATTTGTGTAGTATACTGAATTGTACATTTAAATTTAGTCACTACATATATATATACTTTTAAATTTTTAGTTTAGCATGTTTGTTTTTGTTTTTATATTTGAGTCATATTGGTACATTGTATGTTAATAGGCATAGTTTATAATTTGTAATTAAAATATACGTATATAATTTTTTTGTATGTTACGATGTATGATATTTTTAATGTTTTTTAATTAATTTTGGCATGACATCCTTCTTGCACGATTCGCATGGTAACCGCATTTGCATAACTCGACATAATACATAATTGAATTAAGGGTAATACACTTTTAATTTAAAATTGTTTTAAGTGGGCAGTTATAACTGATTTGAGGTCTGCTTTTAATGATTTTAAAATAAAAGTGTATCCCGAAAGTGAAACCAAAAATTGATTCGTCATCTAAAATTTGGGAACGAGAGAAAAAGAAATGTTCGTTTATTTAAATATATCGAGAAAAGGTTGTTATATCTTTAAGATCTGGTCTCGATATTTGTAAATAATCGAACATTCTTTATCTTTCTAAAACGACTTGGTAATTTTAATTTAATTTGTTTGAGTGTTTTTGAATATTTTCAAATTTACGTCATTGTTTTATGGGATCAAAAATCAAATAAAGTTCGAATTTGTAAAATTCAATGCAAAGACGTTAATTAATCGATTAGGTACCGATTTAGGGGTGCTAATCCTTCCCCATACGTAACCGACTCCCGAACTCGGATTTTGGTAACGCAGACCTCAATTTGTTGTTTTAATTAAAATTAATTTTTATTTAAAATGACAAAGCATTTTTTGGTGCCCAATCACATCCTAATCAAAGATTGGTGGCGACTCTTCGAACCGTATTTTTCGATCGTAAAGGAAATTCAAAATTTTTCGAAACGAGAGGTCTTTTAAATCACATATGTTTTTAAAATAAAAAGAGACAATTAAGAATTAATGTGGTTTTCAAAATCTCATCTTTTTTCACCTTTTTAGAAAAAAATCGTTTCGACATTATTACAATAATGTAACATTACTATGAGAATGTTGTATTACATTGTTTGATTTATTTAGTAGGAATGTAAAATTAAGTCTTTGATTTGAGGAATATAATATTACTTGGATACATATTTTATCAAATTATCCTTATGTTATATGTTTTTTTTAAAGTTAAACTTTAATACTAAATTATAAATATTCGAATAAAAATTCATAGAAATATTTTAATCGTTATACTATTCAATTTTTGCAAACAAATACATTTAATATATAATTAATATATTAAACTTATATTTTTAAATAATTTTGATAAGTATCATATTTGTTTATATAAATTATAATGTAATATAAAAAAATAATATTATGATCTCAAATAGACAAAGATATTAATTTTCAGTGTATAAGATCTGTTTTTTAATTACTTAAAGCTAGATATTATTTTAAATAATTACATTTTTACAATAATATTATTTTTCACCTCATAAAATTACAAAAAATCAATATATTGAATATTAAAAATATAAATAAAATAATTTTAAATACTCAAAATTAAACTCTGTGCATATTATTATTATGTTTATAATTTTGAGTAATGTTCAAAAAATAAAGGTTAAGGATCATTATAAAAAAATATTCATTATTCTAAGAGTATTCTTGTCCAAAGTACTGAAAATTATCTAATACCAAAGAATTTAAAGGTAATTGTATTCCCACCATTTTAACTAAAAAATGATACTATTGGGAATAGATCATTCTCAAGTAATAATCTTTTCCATGAGCCACACATGATCGTGTAATTTCAGAAAAGATTATCCCCTACGTAATGATCTTTTCCACAAACAAAACGTCGCTTACGGTTTAACATTTATGATCCTCAAGTAGAATATATGACAACACAAAAAACCTCGTTAATAAAGTATTTTGTTTCCACTCTCGGGAATAATAACCCTAAACAGATTCTCTACAAATTTAAAGTTCGGATTAACAGTATGTTTTAAATAACCCAGCGATTACCACACAATGCCAAACAATCGATAAAATCTTCCCCACTCTTCAGATTTGAAGTTAAGCAAAAATAAATTTTAAACAGTATGTTTTAATAGATCAATCAGACTATCAATATCTGATTTCATTGTCAAAACACTCATTCCAAGCATGAGAGTTTTAAATCCTCAATCAACATAAGTAATCAAGTGTTGACAATGATGCATACTATCCAAGGCATATTCTATCTTTTTTGGATTTAGATGTATCTTACGAAAGAGTTCTCCTGTTAAAAGATTCCACCGTAAGATTAGCAGTGAAAGCCGGAATCGAGTTCAACTTCCGAACAAATATATCGACCTGCCAAAAATACAAGCACACATTAACAGTTCATTATGACAATGGCACCAGGCCAATAAAGTGCATCAAATTCAACCAGAAAATTTTGAAATACAATTATGACGAGAAAATTTACTTAAAACAGTTGTAACTCAGGCTGAGAACCTTCCAGTTATAACTTTCTTATCCTGTCTATAGAGCCAAGCTATTCATGAGCTACTCTAGCTTAGATTATACATATCTTTAAGCTATTTCATGTTGAGCTTGGGCTCCAATTCCTAAAATAATAAGCTAAGTTTGAGGGGCTTTTTTTTAAAGTCGGGGGTGAATAAAAGGTAATATGTATTAAAAGATTCTCAACCATTTGATATTGAACACTCATATCCTTGCATACAAGGAATAACAACAATTCCTTAACCAATGAGGTCGTTTGGTTCGTGCAAGTTTGAGGTTTTTAATACAAAGGTTTGATTATAAACCCAATAGGGGACAGTGGTAAATAATACTTCTCCAGTCATGTCACTTTTCCCCTATTGCCAATCTTTCTAACACTTGACTCAAAAACATTTACTAGACAAGGCAAAACCATAAAGCCCACTTCTGCAAACGTGTTCACTAGTTCCTTTCATTTCTTATTCTGGTTTTCCAATAGCCAGCACAGCACACATCAAAGAGATGAAAAAGCTTACAATTATTACCTGATGAGATATTTCACGCTGCACGGTATAATTATTTTCCTGTTGGATCATAAAGCAACATTAGTTTAATTTTTTTCTTGGTTCTATTATTCTATAGTCAATTTAAATAGAATAATGGAAATGCATTTGCACGGCCTCTGGAAATTCAAATGCATGTTTACCCCTTTATTGTCCCAATCAATCCTTAAAAGATATTTTCATGGTAAAGTGGAAAGTGATTTTCCTTTTAGGAAACTACGAAATAAAACTATTTAGTATTCATATTTTGCTCTGAAACCCAAATATTCAACAACTCAACTTACCAAAATATTGGTATTTCCAGATTCATACTCAAATTCAAGCTTCTCGTCATCATTTTGTGCATAAATTGATTGGAGGGTAAAACGGGTCACAGGGATTCCATTAGGACGCTGGTGCTCATCCATTACAATCTGCCACAAAAATCATTAACTGAAAACCATGAAGTAGTGTGATGCATAAAAACACAGCACAAATTAGGGGAAAATAATTTATTTATTTTTGGATAAAAATGGGAGGCCTCGTTAAAAACCCCTTCATAACCATCGAGCTACAAAATAGCTCAACGGACATTGGAAGGAGGAAAAGAGTACCTCAAAGATTTTATTGCTAAAAAACCAAGTACACCAAGAATACAAAAACATCCAATTACAACCAGAAAACACCCAAAAAATGAAACCTAACCCCATTACAAAAACCATAAAACATAAAATTAACCTATCCCTAACTTAGCAAACTCATCCGCTTCCTAATTAGGAGGAAATAATTGAGGTTTACAACCTTCCACATTATAAATGAAACTAAAATAAATGAGGTTTACAGCCTTCAAAAATAAAAACTACTTAATGACCATCTTTTACAATTTAACTGAACAAAAATTTGTATGCTACTTCAGTTACTAATAATATTGGATTTAGTATGGAGATTTCGAAACATTACAACACACATTTTAATCCCCTTGGTTCTCTAGTATTTGCTACCTTTTAGTTCCATTACATCTCCTAAATTACCATTTGATCTCTAGTGCATCCCTATTTCCCATTCGTGTTCCACATCAATTTCATAGCAACGCAAGCCAATCTAAGCTTCCAGGACTCGATCCTTTGTTACTGTCACCAATACCAATAATGCCCTTTCAATGTTCTAAAAATTAATTTCTCTATGTTCTATGTAGATTTCATCATCGCATTAAACACGTTCTTTCTCCTTTTTTCCCAATATTAAGCTTATAAATTTGTGGCAACACTGCTTACGGGTCTATGACAACGACAAAGTAATCAACCTTTGCTGTGGAAAATTATAACACCGCAGAAACTCGGTTTCAGCAATACAGTTTTGGCTGAGTTGAATCAACTTTTCTTCTTTCCCTTCATGTTATTAATGTATTGTTAGGGAGATTAGATCCTTGGTTTTAGCTAAAGATGTCATATGTAGGCTGATTGTTAGAAATGCTAATTGGGAAGCTGATGAATAGGCTAAAAAAGGGATTGGGTGAGGTGAGGATAGGGATTTTTGAGAGTGGGGTTAGCAATGTTTCTGGTTGTAATGTTAGGTATTTAAACCCCTATTATAATAAAACTTGAGGCACTCTTTTCCTCATTCCGCTGATTGTTTGTTTTCCTTTTGGGGAATGGACAGTTAAGAAGGGGTTTTTTAATGAGGCCTCCTATTCTTGTCAAAAAAAGCTTTGGCTGAGTTGAAGCATCCCATGTCAAGGTTTATGAGCATTGTCCTTCTCTTGTTTTCGAATTAGATTTCACGGATGAGCTTATAGCATAAACTTGAATGGGGACTTGTTTCTTTCTTTAGTTTTTGAGACTTGAGTGTTTGCACCCTTTGAAGACCAAATTTTCCAGGATGTTTTCTTTGTCGGTTAAAAAGGATGGGTTCATTGCAGAATTTAAAAATGTTAGCAATGGGAGGTGGAGTTGGGACATTCACTTGAGGAGAAATTTGATGGATAGTGAAATTGATCAATGGATTGAACTGATGTCGTTGTTGGATTCATTTCAACCTGGATTAGAGACTAAAGACTGTTTCATTTGGAAAGGAAATGGTGAGGGTGTGTTTTCGGTTAAGTCATGTAGTAGCCTAATTTCCAGCTTGTCCGAACCAGATTTGTCATGGTCAAAGATTGTTTGGAGTGGGTTATTACCTCCCAAAGTTGAGGTTTTTCTTTGGCAGGTGGTACATCAGAAGCTGGCTGTTAAGACTAATTTATTGAGTAGGGGTGTCCAAGGAATTCAAGATTCTCTATGCACGTTTTGTGGTTTGGAGCAGGAGTCGGTTAATCATTTGCTCTTTTCGTGTCAAACTGTGTGGGAAATTTGGATGCGCATCCTTCGAATGTGGAATTTATTTTCTGTTTTTCCAGATAATCCTAAAGGTTTTCTGCTATCATGGTTTGAGTTAAATCCAAATTCTGATATTTGGAAACTTATTCCGGGTGCTGTTTTGTGGACTGTTTGGAATTGCAGGAATCATATTGTGTTTGAGAATGGTAGACTGGATAAGGCTAATCTTTTCTTCTTGGTTAAGTATAGGGTGGCTTCTTGGTTCTTGGCTAAATTCAATGATCTAAATATCCAAGTTGACTGTCTGGTGGGTGATTTAACCTTGGCAGATTATAACCGTGCCCCTCCAAAATTGAGAATGAATAAGCCAAAGTGGTGTCCACCACCTACGGGTTTCTTTAAAATGAATGTGGATGGGGCTGTAAATTTTGATTGGAGGTGTAGTGGTATTGGGGGTGTACTCCGGGATGCTGAAAATAATAGGTTGAGTTCTTTCTCAAGAGCGACTGGTCCAGGCCCCCCGATCCTAACAGAGATTCTTGCGATCCAAGAAGGCTTAAACTTGTTTATTAATTCAGAGTGGAGGGATAAGGGGAGTCTGATTTTAGAGAGTGATTCATCTACTGCTTTAAAGTGGATAAATAACCCGCAGACTAGTCCGGTTCACTATGCTGATTTGGTTAGAGCTATTCAGAAGACTATTTTGCAATTCAATGTTATAACTACCCTGGTTAAGAGATGTACTAATGATGAAGCTGATGGCTTAGCAAAATCTGGTATAGGATAGTGTCAGGAGTCGTTTTTGTTTCTGTTATTTAGGAGTCCTGTTTTGGGTGTTTGTACGGGAACCTATGTACTCTATCTATTCTGTTTCTGGTTGTAATCCTAATTTCTGGTAATAAAATTTAGGCACTCTTTTCCTCCTTCCTATGACTATTGAGTTTTTCGGAACTTGATGGTTATGAAGGGGTTTTTTAATGAGGCCACATTCTTATCCAAAAAAAAATATTATAGTTCTAGACAAATCTATAATTTAACTTTCATATATTGCATTTTGCCTTTTAGTTAGGTTTTTGCAACAAGCGTATAAACACCTAAACTATATTAGTTTGTGGTTGCTTTGGATTATCAGTTGTCGAGATATTGGTATACTATTGAGATTTTTCTTCCTCTTCATTCTCTCCAGCTTCTCTCCACTCTATATCTATTATTTCTCCCCTTTTATTTCCTAACCTTCATCTAATTTACTCCTGTTTTCACTCCCTGTTCAAATCAATATCCCACACTTCTCGGGGATTGTTTTGTGTCATCACATGGCACAGAAGTTTGAACAATAAAAACAAATATAACCGACCAAACAAGAGTTCAGTGTATTAATAGATTTTTAGACATAGCAAGAGTAAAAGATAGCTTAAGAAATACTAAAATGTAAAATACAACACATCATACCTTGTAACCAAAGAGCTCACAACATGCCCTTCTAAAAACCGAAATTCTATCCGCAAAAACAGTCTTGTATCTGTTTCAAGTGTGCATTTCGAATACATCAGCAATCACAAATCAAAATCATGAACAATACATATAAAGGGATAAATATGAAATTATACATGACCTTTGATTCAATATGCAACGCTTTTTTTTTTTATAGAAGATTAGGCCTCATTAAAAACCCCTTCATATCCTACATGTTACATTAATAACATGAAGGACATAGGAAGGAGGAAAAGAGTGCCTCTGAATTTTATTAATCTGAACAATAATACACAATCAGTCCCTAACCACTAACTGCTTACAACATAACACTTATTACATAACACTTAAACCATAACATCCTTCAGAAATACAAACAAAACACCTTAAGAACTGCAACTCATAACCCATTAATCAACCTATACCAGCTTTGGCTAACTCATCCTTAAATATAAGCTTCGATTTTGGTTCAATTGCATGCATGAAATTTGATTTGATATAATTGTTCACATTTTGAGGAACAAAAAAATCCAATTATTTTCATGTTAGGAAAACAAAATTATTTGTATATGCAATAAGCAAACTTAAAATAATGACATTTGGTAAAAGTGTTGGTGGTTTTCAAAAATTGAATTAAATCGAAGTTTCAATTACATAATTGAACAAAATCAAAGTTTATATATTGCATTGCACATTCAATTAAAGTTCATGTATACTTCTGTGATTCATCCTTAAATATAACAACAATGCTTCCACCACTTACCTCTCTTCACGTTTTTCAAGTGTCGCGATTTGTTCTTTCAATTTCATTATCTTCTCAGATATATACGAGTCAACCAACTTCCCAGTATCACCTATACAATTAACTAGTCAGAGTACAGATAACCTCATGCCAATGCTGTATTCAAAACGGTTGGCAATTTGGATCAGTAAATCACTCCCACAATCAAACTCAAACTCAACAGACACCATATCAGAGTTTGTTAGTAAATCCAACAAATGTAGACACAATCAATTACAACGATATAACATGGAAGTCTGATACTTGGATAACCTAAATAGATACAAGTTTTACTGAAATAGAAAGAAACCAAAGAGACAAAGGTTCCATCATGAACTATTAATTCCACAAATCAATTTTGACATAGAAAATAAGAAATCAGGGGAACTTTAAAAATAAAAAAATAAATAAAATGAAAGAGTTCAAATACTTATAAAAGTAGACTTGGTAATACAGGAAATGACATGATTCTATGATACGAACATGAAATGGAAAAATATCTAAAACACCACATAACATGAAAACTAAACAAGAACACATGAATACATGAACGTGGCAGAATATATCTGACACAAATTATTAATCTAACAAAAGTAACAAACATAGAATACTTCAACACAATTATGATGCAAGGAAATGCACAAACACATCATTAATATATGAATTTCCATGTCTATATAAAAGTTTGTAACAAGGACCGCAAGAAAGAAATAAAAACACCGAACCTTTATTCTGAATCTATTTATTTTGCAATCAAAGAACAATGTACTCTACCTGACTGATTTTTCAATTCCTCAAGAGCTTGTAACTTCTCCTTTGTCTTTTGTAACTCAGTTTGTAATGCCTCAATAGTTTGTTTTGACTCATTATCAACAGCAAGAGTATTTACCATTCGTAGAACTTTTGTATTTGCAGATGAATAATCCCCATGACCAAGCTATGGAAAGAAATCACATTGTTATTACTTGTCAAGGACAAAAGACAAACCAAGCATCTTAAACATTTCTCTCTATTGGCCCTACAGATGGTTCAATAATGCATAACTTAATTTAGTTTAGCTAAATTATGCATTTCTGCACTGAATAGAAATTAAATTAAAACTGTTTTGTGTTGAATTCTGCAAAATCTCTCATTAATATCGTCAAATGATAACCACCTAAAATGTTTTAATCAAGTAGAACTCTCTTACTATTACGAACAGCGAAAAGGACTAATTCCAGTTAAATAACATACATGGTTTTTCATAAACATGCATGACTTTTTATCACCTTGCGGTTGCATATGAGAAAATTGGTAGTCAATCTTGCTACATTGGCAAGCAACTATAAGTTAAGAATATTAAAATAAAAGAATTAAAAGTAAATTTGGTTCTGAACAAAGAGAGGATAGAGAAATAAATAAACAAATATATTGAAAGATGGTAAAGAGATAGATAAATATATAAATATAGAGAGAGAGAAAGGTTTCCAAAGCCAAAAGGAGGGTTTGCAACATAAGTTCTTACACCTGCTAAGAATAACGGCAAACCTCACAAAGATTATACAGAGGAAACAAGTCCAAGCTATAAGATGTGACTCACTTCTGTTCACAAGAAAACCAATTTCAATACTCATTATCTTAACAGACTACTTGCTATCTAAATATCACTAGGTAAGTATTTACAGACCATGCGACCAAAAATGCCCAAATGGTTCCATATACATTTAAAAATGAATCATAAATGAACAAAATAAATCTCCAACAATCTATTCCTTCAATAAGCATGATATTGTCCAAACTCTCAAAAAAAAACCAAGCAAAGCATCAGAAATTATTACAAAAAAAAAATCAAAACAGCAACAAACAAAGTCACAACTATATTTGATTAGTAATGGTTCCTGGAATCAATTAGAAATGTTAGTACCTTCGATTCCAGCAGTGAAATCTCTGAACGAAGTCGATCACTCTCCCTTTCTAGTGATTTTATTCTTCTTGCTTCATTATTTAGCCTATCATGGAGCAATTTGATCTCATTCTGTTGACGATCATTAATTTCTTTTTGTTCACGTAAATTCCTCTCTAATTCTTTGATACAGGATTCCTTCTTTACTAGAGATGATTCAAGCTCCTGGACATCAAAACCAAGGGACAACAAATAAAAAACAATGAGAAAAGACAACACATTTAGGTGTAAGGGACACTTTGTACACATATTTTGGCTTTAAGTAATGAAACAGCATAGAATTTCATAACCTGAACAACAGTTCCACTGGTCATTTCATCACCCGCTTCTTCATTCTTATGCCTCTTTGAATCATTAATAACATTTCTCAACTTATCTCTCTCTTCATTAACCATAGAAAGCTGCAATATAACAGTCCGCCTTTTAAAATAAAAAAAAATGACCGAAGATTATAGACAAAGAAATAGGATACAAGGACACATTCATCAGCCCAGGTCTTTGTTAACATCGACAGGTACAACCAAGAAGTAAATCAACACAATTCTGTTTAGAATCATTTGTTAAATTTCAACCATTCATACATGTATAAATGTTGATATGCTATCCTGGTTCAATTATTCATGATCTGCCATATTTTCTTAATTAAAAATGTTTATTTTTGCATGTCACTGATATTCTTTAGTTTCCTGATATCTGCAAAGGAGGAAGTTAAATAATTTCACAGTTATAAAACATGACCAGAAAATCAATCTTCAGGAAAAACGTTATATTAAATAGTGAAGTTACAAAGCCTTGCTTATGGCCTGAGAAAACCAAAAATTGTATGCATTAACTACTCTAATTGTTTTAAGGAAAGAAAGAGTAAACCAATGGAACTCATGGATTCTACCCTATCTTTCCCCCCACTCAAAAAGGAAAAATAAGTAAAAATTAACTATAAAAGACTTGATCCCTTCATGTCCATGTTACCTTTACTTGCTTCCAGGAGAAAAACAAAGTGAACCTCATGGAGGTTAAACCCCAAGAAAGTAAGGTATTTACAATGGTCCCCAATTACAAACTAATCTCTCTCATGTTCCACCATGTTGTGCAAACTATTAGAAACCAATGAAAATAAAAAGAATTGTACCATCTTGAAAATGTCTACTGCATATAACACTTACCATGAGTTCAGTCCGCTTGACCTCTGATTTTAAGACTTCTGCCTTCTCTTTGGCCAACGCAGCATCAGCTTCAGCATTCTGTTTAGCAAGTTCTGTGGCATCCAGTCTTACCTCAATTTGCTTCAAGCGTGCATTTGCCTCTCCTATCTTAATTGTACTGTCAATCACTTCCCTGCATGGAAAAGAGATCTCAACTTAAGCAAAGAAGACGTAACAAATAAAACAAGAACCAAAAATATCTTAATTGACAGAGTATTCAAGCGTGCATGCAGAAAGTGGCATGATTACATAATATTTAAGAACATTCAAGAATGCATAAGCAATTATTTCAATATATCATTCAACAAGAAACTACAATGATATAAATAAAACCCTGTCAGATCATTCCAAAATGAAAAGCATGGAAGATAATAAACAAATCATTTCAGGGAAAAATATCATAGTAATAACAATTTCTTAAGAATGGGCAACTGACTGACTGGAAAGGACAAAACCAAGTGATTCAAACCAGGACCGGAAAAAAAATGAAGGCAGAGGAAGCTATAAAGTTGCAAATGATTCTTAGAACAAGCTTTGACTCACCCTAGAATTTTCCTCACTTCAGAAATCAAAGACTTAATAATAAATAAACTACAAACAAACACTCCATTTCTTTCCCACAGCAGCACCTACATATTGGCATTCAAACTGTAGAGGGTGCAAAGGAAACCCACCGACAGTTTTGTCATTGTTTTTGAACTTTTAGCTAATAAGATGGACCAAAACAGTTAAACCAATAGAATACAAAATAAGCTGATAACATACTTTTGTAATGTTGCAAACTTGACAGGTACATCTTCAGGACATGACACATCAGGTATGTCCTTCGTAATCAGTTTCCACAATAACAACTCATTCTCCAAGTTGACCAAACTTATCTGTTGTTCTTGCAACTTGGATAGCTCTGATTCCACCCTCTCCCTGCGGCCCTTCTCTTCCAGTAATTTTGCCTTCAATAACTCAATGTCCTCGTGAGATGATTTCAACTTTCTTGCCTCTCGTACTTCAGACTCCTGATAAGAACCAAGAATCAAAGGCAGAAGTGAATGAATTCATGAAAAACAGGCATATAAAGGGGGAGAAATGAGCCAGACAGGAATTAAGACTGTCTTCCAAAAGCATTGACTTAAATAAGCAGTCAGATCAAAACTTTAGAAACATAGCTCATATTCATACCCACCAAAGCATCAGCAGGAAAGAAAAAAGGAGATAACAAAGTTTATGCAAATAGTTGACTAACAGGTCAAATAGAAAATATAAATGTACCACAACCAGGCACTGAAAGCAGTTTCCTCTACTCATGCAAATGATCATTGGACAAGAAGAAATTTGCGGAATTTCTCAGATTGCTTCATGGAGATACAGATGCGTGTTTTGGAATGTGAGAAGGCAAACCACTCAATATATTAAAAAATCAGCAGTGTGGGCATTTTGACATGTACATAAATAACAAAACTTCTAATATTATAATTTTACAGATGATAAGAGAATTTAAATGACAGCTATCATACAAAAAGAAAAAGAAAAAACTTACATAGTTTCTAAGCTCCTCTTGCAAATGTTTTATCAAAATATTGCTCTCAGAAGAAGAAACTTCTTGAAAGGTGAAACTTGAGAACTTCTTCTCTACTTCACTCTTTTGGTTCAAGCACTGCAAAACCACAAAATGGGCAAATGTTAACAATTTAATAAAAAAATCATCTAAACTACATCCTGCAGGATATGAACAGTTTGCATCTTAAATAAAAAAACTTCAAGAGTCAGTCAGACATTCAACAATAAAACCAGAAATCCCAAGTAATTCATCAAAACTCAAACAAAACAAAGAAGTTAAAGTGGATATGACAATAGGAAAAAAACCAAGTGTTAAAGTTGAAAGAGGATTAGTGGCATTGGTCTGCAATCAAAATCAAGTACAAAAAACAATATGCATGCAAAGAAATACCTCATTAAGATGTTTCTTAAGATCCTCAAGCTGCTCTTTCAAAAGCTCTGATTCCTTCTCAGCATTATTAGCTCTAAATTCCATTCTTTCAAGCTACAACCAAACAAAGTATGCATTAGACTAACATAAATGCTAATTTATGTTTTTTCATCAACTAAATAAAGAAGTTTAGGTAATCACATCAGCACTTATTCTGGAAATAGAAAGCTTTGATTCTCCTTTAAGCAGAGCAAGCTCATTGTGAAGTCGTTTTTTCTCCGTTTCTATGCTTTGAGAAAATTGGTTAAGTTTACCCTCCAAATCAGCTGCTTTCTCTTCAGCAGACACTGAAGAGAACTCAGCTTTTTTGCGAAGGTTCATCTCATTTTGCAGCTTCCCCTATTATAAAACATAATATAATGGTGAGCAAAGAAAAGCATGTCTTTTACATAGCAAAAGAATAAGCATAAACCATTTTTGAAAACGTGAGTGCCAACAACAACATTTCATGCAATCAAGTGCAGGAAGATACTAATGCAGCAATACGAAAATTTTCAAAATCTTAGAAAAGGAATTGCTGAGACAGGCCAATCGAAACTATCACATACAAACAATGGCTTTGCTTAGAGCATTAACAACACGCTCTAGAATCCAATTATGACACGAGAACCAATTAACATATGATCAACTCATCTATGATCCAAATATACAATCAAGAAGATAAACATGTTACCAAGGTTGTCAAGGTGTGGGCCTAGGTGTTGAGTCTTAGCTTCAAATAACAAAAGCTCCTTATACCCCTTCAGGCCAAACACGTTTGACCAAACACGCGTTTAGAGCATGTATGCGTGCTTTTTTGTAAGGCTAGGGTTATAAATGAACTATGCATTTGATGACAAAACATGAACAACGAGAGATGAAAAGGATGACTGAAAGCATCAACCAATTGAGTAATATGATGCATCAATTGTCGTTGCAAATACAAGAATTGATGGCTTTCAACCAGAATTGTCGAAGATTAAAAGGAATTGACGAAGTAAACAACAATTCCAATCAAACAAGAAGTCAACCAACTACACAAGAGAACAAGACTGAGTCAACAGGTGGGCAAGGCATTGTGCCATAGTGTACAAAGTTAGGTTTTCCAACTTTGGTATAGAAGATCCTTTGATTTGGCCACACAACTGTGAAAAGAAAAGAAAAAATCAAACCAGAAAACAACTGAGGTAGACAAAGTGGGTTTAGCAGCTTTACACATGATAGAAGAAGCACAACTATGGTACTACCAAATGGAACTAGGACCAGATCTCTAATGGGAGGGGTTCAAAATTTCAAGGAACATCATAATCTCAAGTTTGGGCCACAATTGCACGACAATCCTCTAGGAGAGTTGATCAATCTTTAAAGTTGAATGGCACATATAAGTTAAATGGTGTTATCCCACATATTATCCTAAAATGTGAAAACTAATATGTAAAATTTCCTTTTGGTCCCATTTTATCACTTTTCTTAAATATTGAGAAGTATAGAGTTCCATAGTATCACCTGTGTAGCTATTAATTTAGGATATAATGTGCTATCCATATAGTTTTTTATTAGCACATATTAGTTAAATGGTTTCATCCAATTTAGCCGCATCTTTTTGTTGTACCAAAATTTCAAATTTCCACGAGCCCAGGTGCTATTGAAAATTATTCTCTCCTCCGACACCCGTTGTCCGCTGCCGCTGACCACCACCCGTCGTCGCTGTCAGCCGTCCGCCGTCACACTCCGACCACAGTTTTTTCCTATGAAGATCGCCGGCTCTCGGTGTTTTCAAATCTGGCCTTAGATTTGCGATTGAGACTTTCAATCGACGCAGATCTTCAAGAAGTCCACTGCCGATTTACGCCGCTTTCCGCCTTCCGTGCTTGTCATCGTCTCACCTCCGAACTCGGCATCTTATCGCAACCATAACCCGCGTTTCCTATCGTCGAGAATGATTGCACTTTGTAGTGGAAGTTTCGATCTAACCATGGCACCCCAACCCCCGTCTCAGCCCAGGCAACCTCGAAGGTCTGTTGCAACAGACGCGGTCGTTGCATCATACAGTGAAAGTTTTGATCTAACCATGGCACCCCAACCCCTGTCTCAGCCCAGGCGACCTCGAAGGTCTGCTGCAACAGACGCAGTGGATGCTCGAAGGTCTGCTAAAACAGACGCGGTCGTTGCATTTTGCAGTGAAAGTTTCGATCTAACCATGGCAAACCAACCCCCGTCTCAGCCCAGGCGACCTCGAAGGTCTGCTGAAACAGACACGGTGGATGCTCAAAGGTCTGTTGCATCAGACGCAGTGGTTGCATCCTCTGCGGGTCACCGTTCTGTTCCTCCTTTAACGTCTAGGATTTCATCACTCCCTCTTGAACCATATTTTTGTGGTGTTTCTGTTGATATTCCTCTTCATTCTGCCAAGGATTTAGAAGCGAGAGTGGAGGAACTCAAAGCACAAGTGGTTGATTCGCTATGCAACAATTGAAGAAGCCAGGATTGCGATTTCAAAGATGAATGGTAATCATATTTACGGCAGCAAACTTAGAGTCTCTTTGGCTAAGTATAAACCCCGACAATCATTTTGGTGAAAGTCCTCGACAGTTGTTCGCTGTAAGTCTGGGATGGAAGATATTTCGGGAATTAAATTCTCTGAAGTTGATGGCGTAGTGGACGAAGATAAATTACACGTGCTGAGTAATTGTCTGGTGTGGTGGGGTGGTGTACGAACTTTATTAAAATTGGTAATCTTGCTAACCAAATTCAAGCCAAAGGACTAGCTGGTTTCACGATAATGAGGGTTGCTGGAAATATAGTTCTAATGGTTTTTGAAGACTCTGATTCGTTGAGAATCGTGAAGGATGATTATCTAGAGACTCTTGCATAATAGTTTTCCAGAGTGGAAACTTGGTCCGAGAGCCTAGTGGTGGAGTGTCGTCGCGTGTGGCTAGTTTGCGAAGGTATTCCTTTTCACGCTTGGAATTGGGATACTTTCAAAAACATTGCAACAAAGTGGGGCATATTATTAGCAATCGACAACAATTGTGAGTTTCCATTGTCTTTTGATCGGGCTAAAATCCAAATACTCACAAAGGCTCAAGGGAGAATTGATGAGTTGTTGGAGTTGAAGGTTGGTGATAATTTATTCAAGATTATGGTGCATGAAGTTGATCCTTCCTTCAAACCTAACTCTTGGGTCCCCGAAGATTGCGATATTTCAGTAAAACTTGTTCCTTCTATTGGATCTTAATTGTTCGGCAGCTGTATTCAGAGGCGTTTTATTTTAATTTTTGGTTGTAATGTTGGTTTGTATTGCATTAGGTGTTGTTAGACGGGTAAATAGGACAACCAATTTAGAGGTTGATGTCTTAGCTAAAGAATGAATTGGCTGAACTAGTGTTGCTATTTATGGGTGGTTTAAGGTTGTTTTCTGTTCATTGGTTTCTTTTATAGGTGTTTATCAGGTTGTATCTTTTGTAATTTCTTATGTGCAATAAAATCCTAAGGCACTCTTTTCATCCTTCCCTTGATTAAGGAGCTACTCTACAAGCTCCATTAATCAAGAAGGATAAAATCCTAAGGCTCCATTAATCAAGAAGGGGATTTTTAACGAGGCTTGAAATTCTTATAAAAAAAAAAGAAAGCACATATTGCCAACAAAAGGAAAATAACTTTTTTACATGTTGTGTAGATAAATTTTCCCACTCTTTAAAGTTTATTATAATAATTATATATCTAAAACTTATTATATATATATATATGTTAAATGGTGTTATCCCACATCTATTAAGTGTTGGGAATTTTGTGGTCTTGGTTATAGGTTGGGTACTCGATATCATATCAAAGGCTAGGTGTATTTTGAAGTTTTTGCCTAACCACATGTGAGGTAACGACCCCAAATGAGGTTGCCCATGTGTAGACCCTTTGTTAAGCGGCACATGAGGAGCTTTAAGTAGTATTATCCCACATCTTTTACGTGTTGGATTTCATATGGTCTTACATTAGGTCCCTTCATCTATTAACAAATGGTTTTATTTGCACCTTATTTCACTAGATGAAATTGTGAATACTATTTGGAGGAATTTGTCGGAGGTGATTTTTATAGTGGGTGGAGTCTTGCATCATAATTCTTGGCAATTGAAGTACGGATCCCGTTGGCCTATGCTTTAAATATGGCTCTAAAATTTCTTGGGAAGCCGAGTTCATCATCATATAAAGCAAGAAACTAAAGCACCAGCTCTTCCGTCAAACAATAATAAGGATTTTGAATAGCACATTTTAGGACAATATGTTGTAAAACAAAGGGTATCAAAGATTTGTTTGGTAACTTGTTGGCACAATTTGTAACTAAGAAGACAAATTAAACCAGAATCACAGTTAGCAGTGCTGCAGTGGTATCATAACTTACTTTACTTTAAGATAGCTGATGCATTTTAGTGGTTGTATATGTTCTAAAAGACTTCTTTGTGTATGTTATTCATGATTTAAGCACAAGGTAATTCAACATGCAAAGCGGAAAGGATCTTTCTATCAATCTCGTAAAATAAAAAATGGTACCTTAAGCTCATTGTTTGTTTCTAACTGCTTTCTGAATCTTTCCTGTGAATCATCGACTTCCTTCAAGAGCTGGTCATGCAGCATCTGTTCACGTCCTTTTGCAGCAGCTAGCTCTTGTTCTGCATAAAGGAATTGATCCCTGAACTTTTTCCTTTCCGCTTCTGCAAATATTGCAATTATATAGGTGTAAAATTATGGAAAAGTATTACACACAGCTTTAAAGGACTCAACATTAATGGGGGCAACTACTGCATCATGCATGATCTTATATGAAGTAATCAAACACCAACAATATACACCAAAGCAAGAAATTCTGAAGCAACATCTATATAAGATTTGAACAAAAAATTAGTAGATGAACCTGAGCAAAATCTATTTGCTTGTTATTCATATGAAATTTCAGATCACAGCTTTGAAGTTCATCATGTCAATATTAGTGGGGCCAATTAATGATAGTTATTCGTGATTAAGATTAATAAAGTTTAGTTAAGCATCTATTTTAAGGTGTTCAAAACCTTACCCAACCTCAAAAGCTTTCCACTTTCCCCACAGGGGAACCCTATAAGCTTTCGGCGCTAAAGAACAGGGAAAGGAGAACATAATTTTTTTTAAGATTAAGGTACCATTTGGTTCTTTGTTTTACTATCTGTGTGTTATTCGTTGAAGCAAGATAGACAGCGTTTGGACATTTCATAGTTGAAATGTTGTGTTTCTTTCCTGTACAAAATGAAAGCATGGTTTTACTATGGTATTGATAACTATGTGAGAATTGGTATTTCATATCAATTATTTGTTTACTTTTAATTAATTACAATTTATCTGTCCAGCGATACCTTATCATAGAAAGCAAAACACAAACAAATAAATGATGAGTCAACACACACGGAAAGCCCTACTGGAAATTAACAACAGCGGTTGATCAAAACTAAGGCATCAGCCATTAGGGAAACACGCACAAAATTTCAATAACGATACAAATATAATTACACAAAACAAATATAAAAGACTGAAGTGTAGATATAATCTACCGGCTTTGGAGAGGCTTTCACTTAAAGCCTCTAGTTTGGACTGGTAATCACTAATTTGCTTCTCCGCATTGCTCAAGGCATCTAGAACATCTGCTTTGACCTACGAAAATTAACAATAACTTTAAGAAAGAAAAAAGCAAATTGGAATATGAATGCTGAGTGATGCATAAATTAACTCGAGACTACCATCTGTCGGCATTGATAAGTGCAGAGGAGGTGATCGGAGGGCTGGTTAGGCGACTCCGGCGGAGGCGCAGCCAGAGGATTGTCCTCATAGATGACGAGACGTCCCTCGGAGGCGACTAGAGGCGACGGACTATCGTGATGTATGGGTTCGGCTCTTTGCTTCTTTGGTGGTGGAGTCCTCAGTATCATATTGTGTCCACAAATTCAAATTTCTAGGGTTTCTCTCCCTCTCCCTCTCAACGATTCAAATCCAATTTGAAGGAAATCGCGCATATGTGTTTTCAAATTTCAGGCAATGACAAAGTGCTCGAATGTGCCCGGAATATGGGTTAATTCAACCAGACATTCTTAAACTATAATCTTAATTTTAAATTAGATAAAATAACTTTAGTGACCGAAAATGCCTTATAATATACGATTTTAATAAATTTTTTTGGTATTTGCGAAAATGACCAACAAATTCGCAACATTGAATTTTAAATTCGTAACTCGATTTCTAAATTCGCAAAGCGAATTTTGTTTTCGCAACTCGATTTTGAATTCGCAAAACGAATTTTAATTTCGCAACACAAATGTTTTGGGTATATAACTACGCAACAACAACAACTCATAACCTAAATCCCTAAATCGCAACTCATTCTATCTCTATCTATCACTCTCTCCAACGACATCTGTTTCTATATCCAACGACACCTTCCCATCTCTAATTTTTTTTTACATAAATTTATTTATATATAATTTTTCAATGATTTCTCTCCCAAATTATTAACTATCATCTTAGTAAATGTATGTTTTTCTCTAAGTTAATAATGATATGTAGTTTATAGCTCGTTTGTTTAGTAAATTAATTTACAATTTGTAGAATAAAATCATCTAATGTTGATCATGTTTGAATAGATTTGTGTTTTGGAAGGTCATTGGAGAATGTTCATGGTGTTTTACAATATATGCATTTACCCATGAATCTTCAACTAAAACTGTCATTAAAAAAGTTAACTTATGAAACTCTAATGTTACGTGTTGCAAAGAAATTGAATTTAGAGCCTATAAGTAGATTTAGGCTATCTTATCACAGAAAATGTAAAGTTTATTTGTTAACAGACAATGAAGATGTTGAATGATTCATTGCTTACATTAGTGTTTCGCAAGAAGATGATGTTACATTGTATGTTGTTAAACCTAGAAGTAGTGAAGTTGGGTCAGTAGCGGGTAGTAATCAACTAAGTTCTTTAACCCAGTTTATGATGCTCACAATGTACAATGTTGTTATCAACCTCAAAATTTAATGGTTCCACCACAATTTCATCACCATGAAATTTTTGTTTCACCACATTTCCAATACCGAACATGTAACATCCTCTATATCGGGTTAGTGATTAAATTGTGAAATTTAAAAATTCAGTGACCAAATTGGATAAATTGAAAAGTTCAAAGAATTAATTGAAATGTTTTGTGTAAGATCAATTAACAAAGAAGGAGGAACTAAAGGGGTAAATGAGTCTTTTAATAAGGGAAATAATTAAATATTAGTTGAGGATATTTTATACCCACGTGGAAGCTATTGGAGAGAACCAAAGTTTTCAGACTTCTCTTCTTCTTCATTATTCTTCTCCATCGTGAAGCCAAGCAAAAGGTGAGTTTTCTTGTTAATCAAATTCTTTATGAATTTAAGGTTTCTTATTGATCATTAATGATAACTAAGCTTAAGGAAAGCTTAGGTTATCTTAAAATCAAAAGATGATGGAGTTAGGAATGATTAAAGAAATGAAGTAGAAAAGTGAAATCTTGGAATAGAGTTCATAATAAGAATTAGAAGTGGGATTTGACTTGTCATCAAGCTAATTAAAGAATAGGAAGTATTAGAATTAAAATTAGAACATGTTGGAAGAGATTCTTAAATTTCATATGGAGGATTGGATTTCTAAGTTTTAGAAGTATTGAATGGATAATAATTAGTTTAAGTAAGTGTATGCAAGTTAGGGATATAAAATGAGGTGAATTATGAAGTGTTGAGAGGATTATAAAGAGATTTTCGTGCTCAAAATAACATTTCTGGGCTATGTGCATCGATGCACATTCAATGTGTACCGATGCATCAAGGATAAATCCCAAAAATTGTTCAAGGTGTATCGATGCACATGAAGTGCATCGATGTACTAATTTAAAATAAAAACATCGAATGCCATCAGTTTATCGATGCACAAGTAGTGCATCGATGCACCTCCTTAAATACAACATCGAATAGGATTTATGTATCGATGCATAGATAGTGCATCGATGTACCCATCAAGGGATGCATCGATACATGGTGTAGTGCATCGATGCATACCTTCATTAAAAGATGAAAATGTCTTTTTTTTACCCAAGAAATGATAGTTTAGAATATATTAATTAGTATAATGATAAGTATCAATGAATTACTATGTAGATACAAAGCCTAAACAAGTTCCAGAATAATTGCCCAGTAGGATCGATCGAGAAAATATAGGTGAGTGCATATACATAACATGATTATAATGATATAATTAGTTCTAGACTTGTGAGAAGTCTAGATTCAATACATTGATGCATGATTCATTTCATATTGTGAAGAATGATATGAATTCATACTGTATGCATTGTGTAGCATGTTTTAAATGAATATGTATGCAAAGTTATATGAGCAATGTGATGAAGGTAAGGAAATGATATGTCTATGTGATATATATTATGTAATTTGGGAAAAGCCCATGTTATGTAGATGAGAACTATATGTATAGTTGGCATGCCAAGAGTAGAGGGTCTACGCAGTCCTTCGAGACATATATGTATTCTTTGGAACATGTGTGAGGTCTTTTAAGACACATACTTGATCCTTGTCATATGTATATGATTCTTAAGGAACTATCTACGTGGTCCTTAGGATAATCTTATATGGCACTACGGTGCAATTCTACGCGGCACTTCAGTGTAATTCTACGTGGCACTTCGGTGCATTTATACGAGCTGTGGTGACAGCATAATGCATAACCTCACAATACTCATATACCTTAGGTTCTCAGTATGGTATCATGGGTCAATAATCTTATTAATACGAATTTATGAATCTTAATATATTACTTACAGGTAAGGATCATGGTGATATAAACTGTATGGTTAAGTATTTGATTTCATCTCATCCCATTTTATTATGGCATTTCCATTACATTTATTTGTTGCCATTATTATTATATTGCCTCACTAAGTCAATGACTTAGCGTGTGAGTGTCTCACACGTAGGATCTGAGAAAGTAGACGAGACAGGTTAAGCAGCTGGACAACACTACTCCTGCAACTATTAGATCAGAGGCAACTTAATCAGTAGGTCCTTTTGTTATGTAAATTAATGTTGGCATGTAATCAAAGGGTCAAGTTGTGTATGCTCTGAGTATTTTGATAAACTTGTATTAACATATGTATATTCTTATATTTTAATAATATAAGTTCAAATGTTTTATCGTTTGTTTAAGAGTATTATTTTGTTTAGTCAATGTGACATCCTGGACTCGTATCCGGGTCGGGTATGGGTTGAGGGTGTTACATTTAATGGTATCAGAGCTATGGTTTAGCCGATTCTAGGCATAAACAGAGTCTATATAGTCTTTAAATGGAATACATGCCAACAAATAGTGAAACTTCTGACCTGGTATAGTATGAGTATGTTGTTTTGCTAATAGAATAATGTGTTTATTTTATTAGATGTTCGGACATAATAGCTCCCGAAGTGAAGCGGGAGAAGATAGGTGTAACATCCTCCATACCGGGTTAGTGATCAAATTGTGAAATTTTAACAAGATTGGATAGATTGAAAAGTTTAAAGAATTGATGGAAATGTTTTATGTAGGATTAATTAGCAAGGAAGAGAAATAAAAGGGGCAAATGAGTCTTTTAACAAGGAAATAATTAAATCTTATTTGAGGATATTTATTCCCACGTGGAAGCTAGTGAGAAAGACCAAAAAGTTTCCAGATTTCTCTTCTTCTTCTTCACCGTGAAGACAAAGTTAGAGGTGAGTTTCTTGTTAATCAAATTCTTGATGAATTTAAGGTTGCTTATTGATCATTAGATGATAACTAAGCTTAAGAAAAACTTAGGTTATCTTAAAATCAAAAGATGTTGGAGTTTAGAAAGGATTAAAGAAAGGAAGTAGAAAAGTGAAATATTCGAATATAGTTCATAATAAGAATTAGAAGTGGATTTGACTTGTCATCAAGCTAATTAAAGGATATGAAGTGTCAGAATTCGATTTAGAACATGTTGGAAATTGAGTGAAATTCTTAAATTTTATATGGAGAATTGGATTTCTAAGTTTTAAAGGTATCGAATGGATAATAATTAGTTTAAGTAAGTGTATGCAAGTTAGGGATATAAAAGAAGGTGAAATATAAAGTGTAAAGAAGATTATAAAGAGATTTTCGTGCTTAAAATGACATTTGGGCTATGTGCATCGATGCACATTCAATGTGCACCGATGCATCAAGGATAAATCCCAGAAATTGTTCAAGGTGTATCGATGCACAGGAAATGCATTGATGCACTCTTTTAAAATACAAACATCGAATGCCATCAATGCATCGATGCATAAGGAGTGCATCGATTCACAATCTTAAATATAAACATCGAATAGGATTTATGCATCGATGCATGGTGTGGTGCATCGATGCATACCTTCATTAAAAGATGAAAATGACTTTTCTTTTAGCCCAAGAAATGATAGTTTAGAATACATTAATTAGTATACTGATTAGCATCAATGAATTACTCTGTAGATACCGAGCCTAAACAAGTTCCAGAATAATTATCTCGTAAGATCGATCGAGGAAAAAGAAAGGAAATATAGGTGAGTGCATATGCATAGCATATATATGTATTCTATTCAGTTCTAGACTTGTGATAAGTCTAGATTCAATATTTTGATACATGATCGCATTTCATATTATGATACATATCATGAACTCATGTTATATGCATTAAGTGACATAATATACAGGAAAGTTTATATAAGCTATGTGATAAAGTGATGGAACATGATATTTTTATGTGATAAAGGTATGGAAATTATATTTCTATACAATATAAATTATTGGAATGGTAGAAGCCCATGTTATGTAGATGAGAACTATAGGTATAGTTGGCATGCCAAGAGTAGAGGGTCTACGCGGTCCTTCGGGACATATATGTATTCTTTGGAACATGTGTGAGGTCTTTTAGACACATACTTGATCCTTGGCATATGTATATGATTCTTAAGGAAATTTTCTACGTGGTCCTTAGGGACAATCTTA